TATATATATATCGTTTATATCGTTATACTAGTTATAGTCACACTGCTCAGACATGTGATGTCAAAACAAGGCTGAACATTTGACTTTTAAAGAGATGAAAATGTTCTAAACAATTTTTATCTTACCTGTTGTAGACAGCTCTTGAATTACCTCAGGCTAGTCTGTGTGGGGTAGAAACTACATCTTTATCAAGAGTTAAAATCTTCACTATCACAATGGACTAATCTGACGTGTTCAGATGTTTTGTCACTGTAGTGTTTCAACCCCAGATACAGTAGAATAAACGTCTGGTGCGTCACATGGTAAACAGGAATTCCAGTTGTTTTTGACTCAAAGTGGATTTTTCTACTTTCGTGGAAGCTTCACTAAAACCAGTCCAGTGGTTCATAAGATACTAAAGTAATAGACAGACTTTACAAACATCATACAAACATCATAAAAGTTTCCTTCACTTTGGCTCTGTGTGTGGACCATGGCTGACGTTGGCCATAGTCTACGTGGGCCATAGGCCGCTCGTGTCGGCTGCATATACGGCTGTGAAATGAGATGATTTATAGTCTACAGAAGACAAATGTTTGTGTGACCACGTGCTGCCTCCTTACCATGGTGGTACGTTTTACATCATCGCTTCAGTTGTTTTTTTCAAGGTATAACTTCACAAATTTCAGTTTCAATAGAAAAACGTTACAAGTAAATAAATAAAAGCATGAAAAATTTGAGTTTAGCTCCAGTATCAGGACGTGCAGTAACTGCATTTTATTTAACATCTCATTGCAACAAAAGTTTCTTCAGCTACGTTGCCTAACTTACATTCTTCGGTCCATGATAAATTTCCAAACTCTGTCATAAAAAGAAAAAAACCTCGTCGTAAAATAAAAACCTTTGCCGTCTTTGTTTTCCTGTTTAATTTGCTGACGGCGCAGTGAATTCTGGGAGATCGTCAGCCAAGTAGGATACTCAGTTGCAGCTTACGTTTTCTGGTATTTGTCGACCGCATCTATGAATTGGGACAGCCTACGGCGCGGGGCAGTGACGTAAGCAGCCGACAAATGCATCCGACATCGGCTGCAACCCATGAATTGAGACACATTGAAACGTATTGCTTACATAGGCACAAAATTAATTAATCTGATCATAGAGGGTTTACACGCAGCAGGCTTTCTTTCCAGATAAAATACTGAGTTATAACTTTACCTTAAAAAACCCAAAGAAGTCCTACTTCCATGGTGAACATAAACAAATGCTCTGTTCTGAGCATCCAGAATGAACCTGCAACATGTTTTAATAACAGTGGAGATGTTACTGCACTCCATGTTCCTACACCTTCAGCCATCAAGGTGTTGGATAATTCTGAGCTATTTCAAAGTTTCTAGTAGGAATGTATCGCTAAACGACCAATTTTGCTTCCCTGACATATTAGCATTTATCCAGGAGGAAATAAGTCAGGTCAGTTTTCCACAACCAGAATGACATAATCAGAATCATTCAGATTGCTAATTTATTCCATTTTTTAAATTCCAATTAGGGCTGCACGATATTAGGAAAATCTGCGATGTGCAATAACCATGCTTAATATTGCGATGACAATATGACTTGCGATAAAGGAACAAATACATAAGTATGTAGTGTTGATATCTTTCTGCTTTGGGTTCAACGCCAAGAAAATAACCTAAAAAAACCAAATCATTTCCATTCCAGCCTGAATTTTTTTTTAAATATGAAGAGATCCATCCAGTTGACCAAATACATAAAGGGCTTCATTCGACTGGTGAAATACTTCAAGCTTCCATCTGAATGGTAAAATGCATAAATGCAAACTTTTGAGTCAACCATTTATTGCAGGTTATGCAGTTGTTGCGATATGCATATTGCACAGTCTATTATCGCAATGACGATAAATTTTCAATATATTGTGCAGCCCTAATTCCAATTGGCCGTTTATTCTGATTATTTATATCCATGTAAATTTAGCTACTATTGAACACAGGCCTGAATTGAACAAGCGTTCCTAATGTACTGCATTACCTTTTAGGCAAACTCATTAGCATTCAGTCGTTTTATTTTCTCTCCTACCTTYGAGCTCTGAAGGGCCAGTCGTTTCTGTGAGCTGAAACACATGTACAGCGCCGTCGATCTGGCTGCCTACGAGCCTTGCACCAGTTGTCGCCATGCAGTACGTCTGCACGCTGCTTGGTTCCAGCGGTAAAAGGGCGGTGAGGTCTGTTGTGGCTGCGTCTTTAGTTGTGGTCACACCAGCGCTGCATTCACCTCTTTAATTCTCCTGAATAGTTCATTTAAAAAAAAATAGCCCACTCTGTGCTCAGACACATTGCAGATTTTACATTCTTGAGGTCCTGGGAACAAATCTTACACGGCCCTCCTCCTTCTCGGGCTCGTAGTTCTCATTAAATTAACTGCCTTCATATCAGGAATGCGCTGAGGGGATGGTAGTCAAGACCTGCGGCTATGGAGCAGCTTTTGTTCATAGACTGAGAAGGCCTTGTGATAGTCATCTTGGGCACATTTAATGAGTTTATAAAGACCATTTAAAAGAAGGAAAGACAAGGAGATGGATGTTTTAAAGAAAGGGAAAGAAATAAAATACACTTGAAAAAGTTCTTTTAACCATTGTAGAGGTAGAGAGCAGGAGACTCTATGGCTGGGAAAGCAGTTGCACCATAAATGCAAAGAGATTACTTTACTTTGTCTTGAACTAATGATTGCACTGATGACATAAAAATGACATGCAGCAAAAGACTGGACTCAGTTGTTAGATGATTTATAATTTTTTTTAATAAAAGGTTTGTTTCCATTTGTTTTTGAGTATAAATGTAGCAAAAAAAAACCTGTATAACATCTTGTTCCCACTGAAGAAGTTCAGTTGCTGCCTGTCTTTAAACCCACAGTTGACATTTGTCTTATGGAAACATAAATCTTTTATTACCTTTTTAAAAGAAAGGTCTGGTTTGATTTTACTCTCACAAATTTCTGCTTTTTATGTAACTGATTCCAGCCTTCCCGTCTGTCCCTTGCCCACATTTAGCAGACGAGATTAGAAACTTGTTGAACATTTCCGTTTTGTCTCATCGCCTCGGCCTGACAAAGACGCGCCTGTCGTATTGTTATCGGACTTTCAGCGCTCATTTGTGGCTCCTTGTTTGTGTGTACAGAGCTGCAGTGTTGTGTTTGTGATGCGTGTTGTTTCTAGGCTGCAGGGGGACACGCTATCAAACAGTCGATCTGAGGAGGAGCACAGGCCTCACGTACCTGAGCAAGCCGTCCCTGACATCTCCTGTAAGCTCAAAATCAACATTTTAATTTAGCTTCATATCTGTATGTTTTTGTGATTATCTCCATCTTTTTTTTTTCCATTCTCTGGAATAGTGCCATTGCCCGGGGTGGACACAGCGGCGGGCCGACTACAGGAATGCGAGGCCTTATCTCAAGTGTCAGCCTCGGTAAGTGTCCTCCCTGCATCCATCACCAAACAATTAGGATCGCTTTACAGCCATCAGTTGCCTCGTAGCTCTCTCCACCGCAGCTTTATTGTCTGAGATTGAGCAAAAACCACCTCAAGCTTCGTGTTAACAGAAGGAGACCTGAGCTAAACCGATCCGTCTTCATGTGGGCATTTCAGCTCTCACAGAACAATCGATGGCGATACCCCAATGAGAAATCTACCTATATCACTTTGCTTGCCTTCTAGGGCACTTGTGTGCAGGCTGAAAAGAATAAAAGAATATCTGAGACGAACTAAAAGAGAGGCTTTTCAGATTTATTTTATAGAGGTAAATATTTACAGGTCATCATGGTACAGGGTTTTGTTCTAGTGGAGTATTGTGTATCTGTATGGGCCAGATGTGGCATTTATAAATGAAGTGAAGCAGACAGTAATGACGTCTGGGGCAAAAAAAGCGTGATTGTTTGCATAAGAACATAAATAAATAAGTCAAAACCTTTTGTAAGACTACCCAATCTGGGGCTGAAACCTACTAGTGTTTTTTTCACCTCTGAACCCTTCATTTAAAGTCTCAATGAGTATTTGTTGAACTTTTAATATTTTTCTTTTTTTGTTTCTGTTTTTTTTTTTATTTGCAACAAATTCTGGCATTTAATATTTATCTACAAGACAGTGGATCCCAACCTGAGCTGCCTAGCAAGCCAAGATGAGACCCCCCATATCTATAAGTGAATAGTTAAACATTTTTTGGAAGAGGAAAAAAAGAACTGGGTTATACAGAGTTTTGATCGTTCGAATAAACTTGCTTTGGTGATTTTTATAAGCAATGCATTATTAGATTAGATTAAATCTGTTTTCTCTACTTC